CGATCCGTGTCGACCGGACTGTTTTCTTCCATCCTCCCCGTGTCCTCGAAGCTTATAAGTATGTACTAACGATTCCTCCAACTTCCATCAAACCTAAACGTGTTTTCTCTGCAGCTGCATATATGTGCAACAAATTGAGAAGCAGATTTGGTGATGAGACACTGGATGCGTTGTTATTTCTCAGATCATATTTTCGCAATTCAAATTAGAATGTTCCTATTAGATTAGTTTTCAGTGCATTTTACCTGTCAATGTGCCAGCCATCTTGTTTTGCCAGTGTGGTTAATATAGACCCGACGCCTTGAATTAGAAATAAAATTTCTAATTCAAGTTCGAAGTGCCATCCCTGAGATGTTTACCAGAGGAGAACACTCCTCTGGTAGTTAAGTCCTCTGGAAAATTTCGTAGGAAGAAAAGGAATCGGTAGGAACTAATTTGAATTGCGAAAATATGATCTGAGAAATAACAACACATCCAGTGTCTCATCACCAAGTCTGCTTCTCAATTTGTTGCACATATATTTAAGAAAAATGTGACTGATTAATATTATTTTCAAATACATTTTGCTAAGAAACTTACTTTACTACCTACTTACTAGGTTGTTATATGAAAGTAGTCTATTTAGTCGATGTTAAGAGANATATTTAAGTTTTATAAATGTAATATTAATATAAAATTATAGTTTAAAATTTTTTCTCTATAAAACATTTTTTGATACATCCAATGAAGAGCGATCACTTACGTTTGAAATTGTCCAATCAGATTCTTCTCGGTTGATTTAAAAGTGAATTTTGGTCTGTTTCAAAGAACTTTTGTTTATGTGGTAAGTTTTATATCTTTGGCAAAAAACTGAACGTTTAATTTATTAAATAAACTTATAAACGAACGTATTTTACTTAATTACTCCATAAAATAACCCAAAATGTGAAATTTTCCTTTATGTTATAGTTTAAATGTTAAAAGTTTAAGTATCATCCCTTACATGGAACAGATCTTGCATGCTGTTTATTAAATTTAATTATTATTATTAAAAAATTGATGAGTAATGTGAACCTCCATTACTTATTACACTTACACCTATGACTTACCCTGTATATATCATTAATTACTTCCATTTTGGATATGTAACTTGAATACATGTAAATAACTCAATGTGTTTCATTTTTAAGGAACAAAAATAATGTCTAGCTGCAAAAAGAATGGTCCCGATGGCAAAGATGAATCCACTTGCGTGAAAGTGGTGGTTAGAGTTCGTCCGGCGTTAGAGTCGGGGATTAATGATCGCAAAATTATCAGAACGGTGGATTCCAAAATGCTGATCTTCGATCCAAAGGAGGAAATAGAGTTTTACTTTCAAGGGCAGAAGCATTCCGCGCGTGATTTCAGTAGGAGACCCAATAAAGATACGAAATTCATCTTCGATCATGTATTTGGCGAAGATTCGACAAATGAAGAAGTGTTTGAATGTACTACTAAAAATATGATTAATGAATTGTTAAATGGAATAAATTGCTCTGGTAAGTATTCCTCTTTTATCTAAGTTCGATGTGTATGCATATTATAATGTTTTCTGTATGAGAGATCTTTTCGTTTTCCAATGTGGAGTGTTGGAAAATGAAAATATATGTATATATGGAATGTTTTATATTTATCATAAAATTTAATAAATAAATAAGCTAATTATGTAGCTTTACATGAAATTTTTAGGTATTGATAGACATCATTAGTGTCAACTGTCTGTTAGTATCACCAGTTTTTGATGTACTGACAGAAACGCTACACTTTAGTATATGTACTTTAAAGTACTGTTAATCAGAATCTCCTATATTTATATTTATTAACTATTGAAATGTATTTTAGTACAAGAGAGACACAATAAATTTTTACAATCACATACATTTATTCAACTCTAAAGATCTGAAACTTTTTCAGTTTTTTAAATATTCTTCTTCAGTGTTGATGCAAAGTTGCATTCTTCTAAACTAAGAATTAAAACAGATAGTTCAATCTATTTTTGATAGGGTATTGATGCCCTCTAAGAAAGATTAACAAATATCTTCAACTGAGTTAAATTTATGTCATTTATTAAATTATATATAGAAAAAGTAATATGGGAATAGGCTAAATTTGGATTAACTGAACTCCAGAAGCCTGTAAAGATACCAATGTTTTGATAGTTGTATGGGCCCTGACATCTTGTGGTGGAACAGGATTTTCATAAACCAGGTTTTGGGTGGTTCTTAGACCATACTTCACAAACTTTTGGCAGACATTTTGAGTTATGTCAGTTAGATCAACTGATTTTTGATCTACCAATTTGACCATTGTTATTTCAGCACAATGGTGAAATTGGTAGATCAGTTGGTGTGCAATTGATTCAGTAAAAGTGACAACTATTTGCTTTTTATCATTCTTAGAATGGTGTTCCTGTTTAGAGAAGATGAATATGAACACCAAACTGTACTTTGTCTCTTTGTTTCAGGGTCAAAACATATTATATCCAACACAGCCAAGTCTTGTTACCTGTTACTATGTCCCAAACTGAATTTGAAGTTCCTTTCCTTGAATTTTTTTAACATGAATTTGTTCCATTGTGTGCACACTTCCTTTATTTCTTTTTATGAATGTGGCACCCATTGACAACAAGCTTCCTGTAACCATGATGGTCATAGATGAAATTTTCAATATTTCTTCTAAATGTTCATATGTCAATTGACAGTCTTCTCTACTTTAATACTTTCTCCTCTTTGACATTTTATTCAATGATTGATGTTGACAGGCATTTTATCTTTAAAATTTGTTTTGTTCCTTCTAAGTTTATTGAACCAGTTATAAACTGTTTGGTCTGAAAATGTCATATTTCCAAAAGCTTTCAAGTGTTTTATTGATTCTTTGGGGATAACTTTGATATAGACATAAAGCAGCATAGTGTGGAAATGTTTATGTGGCTATTTGAGAAATAGTGGGAAGTGTCATCTTTATTAGAGCCATCTAACAGCCACATTGCTTCTAGCTGCATGAAATTTTTTACATGGGTGTAAAATTATCATGGCTTTTAGTGGTATCATCAACTTTTGGCCATCTTACTCTGATATTTGACTAAAATTTATTGAGTTCCTCTTATGTATGGCCTTGCCTCTGACTTACTATTATGTTTCAGACAATTTTACTAATCTGTCTTGTGGATCATGACTAATTAGCCTTTCTCTAGCATAGATGTTGGTAATAAAGCAGTTTTATAATGACATATCAAATGGGTTCTGCCATGCTTGGGAAATCTGCTTTTCTTCTTTAAAGTTTACATGCTGTTTTTGCATATTTGCTTTAATGTTTGTTTTTCTGGACTTTCTTCGGTCTGCTAGGTGAATTTCAAGGTTAGAAAGTTTTTATTTGTATATTACAGCACAGTTTTCTGGCATAAAGAACTTTTTATACTTAAGTTAATAGACAAAATATATCAGATGACTTGCATCTATTGTGATTATCATTTGTAGAGCTCTTCAAAATGGCAATTTATCCAGATACATGTCTTGAGAGGTAGTTTGTTTGTCATGTTATCTGATTTGTTTGAGTAAAACACACATTTGCTGATGAAATTCATCAGTAGCTTGATGAAGTATGTACAAGGTGTGACAATAAAATTTGATAAATGGAAATGTTAATATTAAGGNATAAAGGTTTTTTCAATTTATGTGAGTTTAAAGAGATCTCAGTGATGCTTAAAAAAGAATAAATGTAACATGAAGACAGTGATTTTAAGTCTGGTTAGTCTGACTGTAAGTCTGATTAGTTAGAGTGATTAAATTAACTAGGTGTATACCGTAAAACACGTTGATTTTTGTCTAAATTTTGATTTTTGATTTCTGTAAGATTTTCTTATTTTTTATGAACCCTCAATACCGAAATAATCCCGGGATCCCGGGATTGAATAAGTATAATCCTGAAATCCCGGGATTATAAATAAGGATCGGGATCGAATTCCCTAATGGTGATAGATTTAAAAATTTGATCCTGCTCCAAGTCTGTGCATCTTTATCACAATCTTTACAAATTGAGAAGTTAACATAATGGTTCTGACTTCAGGAAATTGTTGTACATCAAGTTGTACATCAAGTTGAAGACAAATGTACAGTTATGTTTTGCTGACTTACAGGGGGAAAATCGTTACCCCTTGTCAGGAATGACCTAGGTGCTCTCATGTATGTGGGTGGTGTTGTAGGAGGCAGAGAATACAAAAGTGCCTTTTACAAAACCATTATTAATACAAAAGTTTCTAACACAGATAAAAGGAGTCCTTGCCAGATGACAGAAAGGAAATTTATCAAATGTCCCGAACGTTCAGATGTGCTGATTTCCTATGCATGTTTCGTCCGTCAGGTGGCCCTGGGGCAATGGCAAGTTGGTGGCTGATGAAACTTTCCTGGCACACATGGAAACTTCATCGCTCTTGTTGCTTCTGATGATGACATTTGGAGGGATGAGGAGACTAAGATGAAAATACCTGCTTGTTGACAAGTACAGGAAGCAGGCGCCTTGACACTTATAGAGAGAGTGTGCTGTGTCCTTGAATACTGGAATTAAATAAAGTTTCACCCTTGATCACCTACTCTGATTGGTTGCTCTCTCATCCTCACTTTCCAAGTGGTTGCTTGCCTGTTACTAATGTAATAGGATTTCAACTTGGATCGTGGGAGATGTCAAACTCGAAGTGAATCTGATCTCCCAATTGGAGATGACCAATCTTGGGTCTCACATTTCTCCAATTGTTTGTGATGTCATGTTGCGACTTTAAAACAGACAGTTTTTTTTTTCTATTTTTTTTTCTCCCTTTAACAAAATAATACTTTTAATGCAAATTTCAGTGGAGGTTCGGAGCTGTTCAGGACCGCACACTATTTCAAGTGAATGAATTTTATGGGTGGATGATGATAGATGTCTCACAGAAATGTGTAATGTCTGTGTTTGTCAAAGTTATTTGCTTTAAAAATAATGAGTTATTGGATTGAAGTCAGTGGTGGTCAAAGTTATTGATCTGAAGACCATTTAAACAAATCACTTATCCTGTAAATATTACCTTAGATAATAGTGTTCCAAATTGTATTTTAAAATATTTTAGACATTTGGTAACCTAATGTAAGAGATATATAATGCATGAAAATATTCTTCACTCTGGCTAAACAGCATCAAATTATATTTTGGAAAAATGATAGGTCAGTCTGTAGACAAAGTGGCTGCATTGAATTATTTGTTTAAATTTTTTAATTTATACTAATAATAATATTGGAAAATATGTAATTTTGTTTAACAAATAAATGAACCATTAAAGTTTAGGTTATTAAAAGTGATTGTTTAAAGGTGTTTTTGACCATAGTTCAAGTTATCGTCAACTAAAAGAATGCAATGAATCAAGTAGAATACTTTTACATTTGAAATTGTAAATTCAAGTAAAGATGATAAGATTTGTATTTTATTTGAATAGAACATATTTTTTGTTTATAATTATATCATGTTCCATCTTTACATTGTACAGTACATAGTATTATTGTATGAAAGTGGATTACTTTCATACAAATTTTATATTTTTGACTAAACTATAAAATTTGAATATTAATAAACTTTTTTAATTATGTTAGTGTTTGCATATGGTGCAACTGGTGCAGGAAAAACATTTACTATGTTAGGATCATCATTTAAACCTGGAATAGTATTTATGACTGTTATGGAATTATATAACAGAATTGAAGAAATAAAGGATGATCAGATTTTTACAATAAAAGTCTCTTATTTAGAGGTTAGTTTTTATAGTTTTTATATTATTGTTTATATTAATTTTTTACAAAATGTTGGATTGATCAAAAAGCTAGTTCATTTGTTGATGGTGATACAATCAGTGCATTAATTCAACAGAACCCACAGTTTTTCTGGTGGTTTAACAGGAAAATTAGAAGGGTTATTTTTTGCTAAGGGATTAGTTATTGGCTACTTGCATATCTTAGAATACATATTGTGTTATGATGTTTGGGAAATAGCTCAGTGTAAATCTGATAGATTGAATATATATTTGTGATTCTTTGCTGAAATGTGATGGATTTGTTCTTAAAACATCTAATTACTAATGATGAAAATGGATGGTTTATGATGTGAAGTGAAAAAACTCATGGGGAAAGTCAACTGACTCCTCTGTAATGAAATCAAAAGCCAGTTCACATGAAAGGAAGGTTATGCTGAACACAATATGGGATTGGCAGGACATTATCAATTATAAACTACTACCTCAAAATCAGATCAATAATGCAAAGTAGCCTTTGAAGGAAAACAGCCAACAATAACAAGGAGAGTCTTTTCAGCATGACAATGCAAGACTGTGTGTATCTTTGCTGACTTGAATAAAATTATTCAAATTTGGTTGAAATGTTTTCTGCCTTCCCCATATTCTACAGTTCTTTCACATTCAGATTACCCCTTATTTTGATCTATCTGGAATAGTTTTAGGGGAAGTAGTTCAATAACTTGGATGATGTGAAAAACTGATGATATTTTTTGAAGAAAAGCCCAAAATTCTATTAAGTGAAACAATGGATCTATCCAACAGATATACTAAAGTTATAGAAAACAAAGATGGATACCTAATTTAATAAAGCTATTTGAGTATTACTTTTGTCTAAAAACATGAACAAACTTTTTGATCAACCCAATAATTATTTGGGTTTTATGCTAATTAATTAATTTTTATAAACATGAAGAGCATCTGAGGATTCATTAATTAAAAATGAGTATTATTTGAAGAATTCAAATGCTAAAATTTTATATTTTTATGAAGAATGCCTTTAATTTTGTTATAGGTTTACAATGAAACTGTCAGAGATTTATTGAATCCATCAAATCAATTGATAGTTAGAGAAGACCCACAAAGGGGTGTTGTAGTTAGTGGTCTCTCCTATCACCAGGTAATAAAGAAAATTAATTAGTCAATTGTCAATATTTTAAAATGTATAATTAGGGCAAATATTTTTATTTCATATTAAAACTTTTGTCATACATTGTCAGCCAACAGGAGCTGGTCATCTCTTAAATTTACTTCAACAAGGAAACTGTAATAGAACTCAACATCCAACTGATGCAAATTCAGAATCATCACGATCACATGCAGTGTTTCAGGTAAGAAATTATTTAATGAAATAATTTGTTTTATACATTGAATGGACATTTGTTCATTTTACTTTTCAGCTGTTATAACATAACACTAGAAACTATTGTAACCTTGTCAAATTTGACCTTCTGGGTTTTTGCAAATTTCAACATTTTGAGACCCTATAAACCCAAAATTTTCAGTATGTATGTTGACATCTATTTCATTGTATAACACAGGATGGGATAAAGATTAAGAAATGAAATTTGGCTTGGTTTCCTGTATATAAGGGGCATTGATGCTGTTAAATTTTAGATTATGGAACTCAAGCAGGTGAGGCAGTAGAGGAGGTCATGTGTCTTATCTTGAACAGGGTCAGACTTAATGAAAAGTTTACTCATTATTAAGCCGTTTTTTGCTGTTTTATAATAATTAATAATAATATAGAAGTTACTTTTTAATAAGATCTTATAACAGATGTCACCGTAAACAATTTTAACTTTTAGCTAGTTCCTAGTATCTTTTAAATGGAGATTTTTTATCATACTTTAATAAAATTACTCCTTTTAGGCATTTGTTAGTTCTTAAATTTTATATCCTAGTATAATTGAAAATTATTGGACTAATTAATGATTTCCTTAACCTCCTGTTTCAAGTACTGGGAAAGTTGAGCAAAAGCCCTTGACATCTTCTTTGTCTTTTTTAATATTAATAATATTGCCAAACATTTGTCTTCTATTGTAATTACAATAGAAGTAGTGTGTTTGGATCTGACTCAAATACAATTTAGTCAAAGCATAACAACATTAAATCATAATATGTAAAATTATTTATAAAATTAATCATTTTGGAAGAATATATTTATGCTGTTATGAAAAATATGCTTGAATTTAACTGTTACTTCCATTATTTCTATAAAATTTTACAAAATAAAAACTACCTAAATACAATAATTTTCTTCCTATTTATATAATATATATGAAAATTTTTAATTATTTTTCCTATAAATAAATTTCTGATCAGTTAGTTCAGAAATTATATAATAATTCTAAGTGTTAAAAATAAATTTATTTATGATATGAAATATTTTAAAGGTATATGTGCAACAAAAAGAACACACCAAAGATTTATCTTCTGTAGTTCGAATTGCAAAAATGAGTTTAGTGGACTTGGCTGGATCAGAAAAGGCAAGGGTAGCTTTAGGTGCAGCAGCAAGACTTAGAGAAGGAGCAAATATTAATAGATCTTTATTAGCACTTGGAAGTTGCATTAATGCTCTTGCTGATAGAAAGGTAATTATTTATTTCTTTTTATTAAAGAATAAAATATACTGATTCTTGTAATTCTGTACATAATTTTGTTTTTCTATTGATAATTCATTGATTAAATATCTTTATTTGCTTTTCTCAGTTCATAATTTCAAAAAATAGGCCAGTGTATAAGATTCTAAAAGACAAGATTCAAAATTAGTTACATTTTATTGAAAAATTACTAGGACATTGCACGACTTTGCCATATCACGATAGAATTGAAGCATAACCAGAAAGAAAGAAGTGATTCTTGTTAGGCACACAAGAGGCAATCCTTGTATCTGACGATCATGGACTGGCAAACTTTGCATGCGCCTTCACAAAAAAGGCTATCTTTGTACCTGTCGGCCACAGGAGAGGTGATCTTTGCACTTGCTGATACAAAGATGTGATCCAAGAACAAAGCAGTAGCCATTGATTGCTTTGTTTTTGTGTTTTGTTCATTTTTTGCACCTATTTTCTGTTAGGTGCCTTCAATGCTGTTTTTTATTTTTTTCCCTACCTTCTGTTAGGCTTGCTCAGTTGCATCAGAGAGCATGGACATTGTAACTTTAATACCTCTATATACCAAAGTCAATGTTCCTATTTTTTACATTTAAATGGTTCCTCATTACATTTTTGAATTCCTCATCACAATCAATGGAAAATGGTAAAGTTTTATCAAAATTGGTCAATTAAATTTTGAGAATGAGCTCAATTCTATAAGCCCATAAAAGGCATGTTAAGCAGGAGCATTGGAGCTTGGAGCTTGGAGCTTGGAGCATTGCATGACATTGCTTTGTTGCATGTGCTCATGCTACAACTTTACATCTTGAAAAACAAAGACATAGACTCCCATTTTTTATTACATTTTTGGATTCCTCATTACAGTTAATGAAAAATGACAAAGTTTAATCATTATCAATCAAACAGATTTTTAGAATGAATGCAATTCTTTAAGCCACATAGAAGAGGCTTTTCTAATGCTCTGCCTCAATTAAAAAGATCATAGTTTTAATTCAAATACAAATAAAAGATTTACAAGGTTTGAAAATAACAGAGTTTACAGGGTGATTTATAACAAGTAATGTAAAACATATCTTGGTTGACTGCTTCATCGTGTAATAAAGAATTGTTTTGTTCATGTTTCAATTCATCTTTTCATTTTATAGAGATATTCCATATAATAAATGTTCAGTTCCAAGTGAATCACTCTGTTTTTAGTAAATACTTCTTAAATCACTGACATGTATTTATTCAGCATCTACTTTATGAACTGCTATGTTTTTGATATATGAAACGTTAAAAAGTGATTCATAGAATCATTCATTCAAGTGAATAATAGAGAAGCAGTTGTCATAATGAATAATAAACTAATTTAAAGCAAAGAAACTAGAAGAAACATCAATTATACATTTTTATATAAGTTAACACTATTCTAATTTGAAACAGTATTCACATTTTATGAAAGTATTTAAAGTTTTGAACAAGTTTGTAATGGAAACAATTAGTTTCTTTATTCTCTCATAAACAAAGCTTATTTTACATACATACATTATTGTTGTTATATAAAATATAACAAGCTACAGTGTGTAAAATAAATCCAAAGTAAACTAAATGTACTTACTTTTCCCTTTTAATTATTTAATTGTTTTTACATTAGATGAATAGTTAGTTTATATTTTAGATACTATTTATAAAATTATTTATTTAAAGAAATGAGCATATTTACATAAAACTATTTATAAAATATTCTATTTTGACATAATTTTTTATGTATATTTTAACACAGTTGAGTAAATACATTCAAGCCAAAAAGAGTTTAGTTTGGTTCTACTTAATGCTTTTGATTGTGTTGTTGTTGTTGTTAATTTTCAGAAATTATAAAATTAAATATACAAAATAAATTTTCTCAAAATTATTTTAGAATTATTAAATTAATTGACAAAAATGTTTCAATTTTTTAGAATAAAATTAGTTTTAAAAAAGTATTTTTCAGAATTGAAGAATTAAGTTCAATTTTTTGACATTTAAATTTCCTGTAGAATATTTCAAATATTTTTTTTATCTGTTAGCAGAATAAAAATCATATTCCTTATAGAAATAGTAAACTTACAAGGATATTAAAAGATTCTCTTGGTGGTAACTGCAAAACTGTGATGATTGCTGCTATAAGGTAAGTTTATTCATAAACTGAATATAGAATTCAACATTTTATAAGAGAGAAAAAATATATAATAATTATTCCAAAAGGAACAAATAAGACTTTGTATATCTTTATTACAATTTTAATATGTATTTGACTTGATTTTTGATATTTTCTGTTTATATTAGTGTGTTTAGCAGTTTTAAATTTTTATCTGAATATTCTTAACATACTCAGAAAATTTACAGAATGGCCCCAATTTATAAACATGCCTCATTTCTGAAAATCTCTGGTAAATCAAAATCTGAAAACAGGGATGAGCTTTTCCATTATTTCTTATGGATGAAATTTTTATCTCATTCTAGCATAATCCAGTTACCTTATTCATGCTCCTCAAATAATATTAAAGTGCTATAAAGTGTCAGTAAAGTTTACCAACCAATGGTTTTAAGTTAAATAAAATAAAATGAATGTTGATTAGGTACTCACTGATGTAAAAGAATATAATTTGAGAGAAGCAAACATGATATAAGCAAATACTTAAGTTAACAAACTATTTAATGGTAAAAACAAAAGTTAGTTAAAACAAGTAAAACAAAGTAAAATGAATAAAAGAAAATAGTTTTTTAATTAATGAAATTATAATCACTGATTGAAAGTTCTTTACTATAGAAATAAAGTTTACTAAACTGCACAATCATGTTGAAACAAATACAGTACAATCTTGGTAATTTGACATATACTGTACGAAACTGGAACAGTATTGAATTAAGGGGATACCAGATTGGAAGTAAGATATTCTTTTCAATTTATTAAACTGTTGAATATGTTTGTTTATTTGCATGATATTAGTACATTATATTAATCAAAAACATATAGAAAAGCAAGAAAATGTGAAATTAAAGCAAATTTGTGTAGTCTCAGATTACAACTTAACCTTTATATCATGTCCAAGCTGAGGTGTTCAAGCTTGAGCTTGATATCATGCTTTGTTTTGTGGGGAAAATTAAGTTGGAAGCTTATCTATTATTTGGGAATAGTGCTGGTAATACTTGAGAATTTGAGTAGTGTCAGATTACTGGATGTGTTGAACTGCAGCACTCTATCTAGTGAATGAAACAAAAATAATGGAAACTTGATTCTAGGAGTTCTGATTGGAGTGCATGGGAATTTGTCTCATTGCAGTCATGATTAGAATATTTCATTTTTTAAATACATATATTTGTGCTTGTTGTATTGAATATTTTACCTTATAAATGGAGAAGAAAGAAAAAATCAATGTACAGGAATTCAATACAAGTTTGTTGTATTGAATTCCTGTACATTGAGTATTTGTAAAAACAACTTATGCTGAATTACTACTAATTCTTTTAGGCTATCTGTTTGTGATATATTATTAATTTTTAAATTGATTTTTATTAGAATTTGGCAATTCTGAATAATTAATAATTTTGTTAAAACATTTTTCTTCTTAGTTAAAAGAATTACAGTACATATAATATTGATAAATCATTTAAAATATAAAAAATTTAAATTACAGTAGAGCATTGATTATCTGACTCAATTGGGGACTTGGGTTGGTCAGATAACCGAAAAGAAGGAAAAAAATTATTAGTATAGTATATTAGTATATCCCATGTAATTAGTTTATTGGTATATCGCTATTAACCAACTTCGTGTTGAATTTTCATCAATGTTTAGCCTAACAAATTTTTTTTTAAAATAATAATTGTCGCTATTGTATCGTTAAAAATTATTTTAAAATTATTTTATTACCCACAAAATAAACCTCATAATTAGAAAATTAAGTCTCATTTAAATGCAGGCCTCCCTTATATGGTTGAGCCGTGTTGCCAGCTAAAACATGCAAAAATTTAACAAAAATAATATTAAAGTAGCCAAGACATAGCCAAATATTGTAGCGTCACATCACTAGCGGACATTTGAAATTTGAAATTTGCAGACTAGAACGGTCGGTTAACCGATGTGACGGTTAATCGGGGGTCATATTATCGATGCTCTACTGTATTGAAAATTATAACTAATTTTTAGTATAGATTGCTATTGAAAATCATAAAGAATTATTGATATCAAAACATGATATTCCTGAATTGTTTCATTTTAATAAAATACTATAAAAACCGTATTGAATATTTATAAGGATATATTAATTAAAACAAAATAGTTAACGATTTGTTATATTTAGGGCTATTTTTCAGCTGTAATGTCCTGGTACACCATACTGACAGATAGCATAAAAAAGTATTGCTAACTCATATTTAGTACTGTCAGTTAAGTAAAAATATTCTATAGAAGGTATGTTCAGATGAGAAACCTGATGACTAGTGCAATAAAAACAAAGGAAACAAACTAGACTTTAGTGGTCACAAAAATGCATAGACTGATATGTGCTGACATAAAAAAGTAAAGTGGATGGGGACTTTCCTTTCATTAGAGGCTCTTTTGATAAATGGATAATATTATCTTATAAATTTCTGATCTGTTACATTCTAGTTAAGAAACAAGGTACAGAGAGGACTGATGATGATATTTTAAAAAGGAAAAGTTAAAAATATGGTTTCTACTGTAAATGGGTACCATTGAGCAAATCAAAACTAAATCCATTGGAAAATAATGTAAATAAAATGAAAATAACATAAATATAAATGTGTACATTTAGAAAGAAAAAATAAGTAGTATTAAATATTTTTTTTAGTTGTTTACTAAACCATTGTTTATTAAACCATAACTTTAGTTTTAGTAACCGTATATGCAAACTCTAAAATAGCTTTTGATTTGATGTGAACGAATGAATAAAGTAGCCTATAAATATTAAAAAATAATAATAAAAAGATACAAACTAATGTTTTAATGTTGGAATTTTATATTTATTAGCTCTACAACTGAGAGTTATGATGATACCTATAATACTCTGAAGTATGCGGATAGAGCCAAAAATATTAAATTAAATGTAAGTTTCTTCTAAAATTTTACCAGCTCTAATAAATATACAGTGGGTGATTGGTTAACGAACATAATCTGTTTCAAGACTTCGTTCACTATCTGAATTGTTCGTTAACCTATTATTGATTTACTGTAGATTTCTATGGGCATTTGATAATCTGTTCTGGAGACCCCCAAAGATAAAAAATTATATACTTTCTTACTATGTCTATTTATATATAATAATAAAAATACATATATACGCAGTCTTGCATTTTTATCAGTCATGTTTTTTCTGTTTGTGAGGATTAATTAAAGAATCTCTCTAATGTCAATTGCTTTTCTCTCTTCTTCAGGATTTTTCAGAAGTAATTAATAGCATTGTTGTCATAGAGATCCCTAAGCCTATTAACCTCAACCTGATTTGGATGCCATTCTAAGACCATTGTTCTGACATCCTCCCACTTCTTCAAAAGATCTTTAATAGCAGATGTCGGTATTAATCCTGTTTTTCAGAAGAAAACATATCACCTTTCGAAAATAAAAGCTGACACAAAATTTAAGGAGTGCCTGCCTGACACTCACATGAATACTATAAAAAAGTTGTTTCTGTCAGAAAAATAAAAGGCTGGAATTACAAGAGAGAGTTTCAAAGTTCGGAGGATTACTATCTGNAGAAGAAAACATATCACCTTTCGAAAATAAAAGCTGACACAAAATTTAAGGAGTGCCTGCCTGACACTCACATGAATACTATAAAAAAGTTGTTTCTGTCAGAAAAATAAAAGGCTGGAATTACAAGAGAGAGTTTCAAAGTTCGGAGGATTACTATCTGATTAGTATATACCAGGCTGAGTGTCGATGTCGATGTCTCCCATGCTAAGAAAAGTTTTGAATTGCTGCCTGAAGACGAGGGAAAGTCAATTGGTATTCATTCGATAATTCATTATTTTATGTTGCTGTTTCTTGTGTTTATTCTGTGAGGTGTTTATTATCTGAACATGTGTTCATTATCCAATTTGTTCTTAGTCCGAACTGTTCGTTAACTGATCACCCATTGTATAGTAACTTTAATATTTAAATTTTGTTAGTTAACTTATAATTGTTAGTGATTACAAATTATATTATTAAATGCATGTATTTCTATTTTTGATAGTAAATTGTCTAAAATTTTTTAAAAATCTGTGATTAGATGGATATATAAAATTACTTGAATCATTTAATTTACTAATCAATCTGTTGACAAAAATAAAATGTTAACATTTTATTCAAATTATAGAAGTTATAAATGTGAAACATTTTACAGATTAATTTATCCATCTTCAATATATTTTTGTCTTAGATAAATCAGAGATATGGAATTCTGACAGAGAAATAATTTCTAAAAATACATTAATAAATTAATTTCTTAAATTTGGGCTTTGTTAGTTTAGTTAAATGTCAACTTATTAGTAATAATAATTATGTAATAAATCATTTAAATAAAGTAGCCATTCAGCCAGATGATTCATATAGATCATTCAGCATACATATTCTCCTACTACTATAAAGCCAGCTTCACACATTCTATATTTGTCAATTGCTGAATTATTGCCTGTTTGTCTCCTTTGATTTGGTATATTATATTATATCAGTAAGGTGTGTGAATCTGTGAATACTGAATATTGGTCACAAGTAAATCATTCATACTACTTGTTATTGGCAATAACAAGCAAATATTCACCAAATGTTCACTTGTTATTGGCCAATAACAAGTGAACACCAATATGGCTTCTTAAGCCATATTGCCATATTAATATAAGCCATATTAATAATTGAATATGGCTTAAGAAGCCTAGATTCAAAATTTTTCTGTATTATTATTATGTTGGGTTTTGTGAGTTATACTCGGTTCACACTGGTGGCTGTGTACTATGCCGGACCAAAGTCAAGACATAGCAACCAAAACAAAGCTAAAATTAAATAAGTGTGTCAGTGTGTGTGTCTGTATTCAGGAATTTCCTAACAATGTGGCATGTATTCAATATAGTGGCCTTCTGTAGTGTGATGTATGTATTTCTCTCCAATTGTAATGTTCCCAGGCTTTTGTGTAGTGTGTGTGGTATCACACCTGTACAGGAGAGAATGACAGGTACAATAAGCACCCTATCCATCCTCCACAGATGCCTTATTTCCTGGACGAGTTCTGTGTACTTGCTAATTTTTTCAGTGCATGTGTTTTGTACATTGTGAGTGTTTGGAATGGCTATGTCTATAATATATGTGATTTTATTGTGTTTGTCAATGAGTGTGATGTCTGGTCTGTTGTGATAAATTGTTTTATCTGTGATTATGGCTCTGTC